GCTCGTTTGCCCCCTCTCCTATAAAAAAAAAAAATATTGATAATCTTTGTGATTTTTTTGTAACAGGTGAAGTACCGGGAGAAGAAATACAATTGATGCCTACCTACAGGTATATTTAAAAAGATTTCATAACATAATAACATTATCATAATTTTGAATTAAATTATTGTCTTTCTTCATTATTTCTTATGATATTAATGACTTTTTATTACAATTTCAGGGCAGTAGTTCAAAACGTGTGCAAGATTGTTAATTGTTTTAAATCATATCCAAAGAAAAATGACTTATTGCAAACTTACATTAAAGCAGAATCCGGTAAGGAACTGCAGCTAATTCTCGATTGCAAGAAAAGGTGGAGTAGTTTGGCATCTATGATAGCTAGACTTAACCACGTAAAGCATTGTGTATCTTAAGCTCTTATTGATCTAAACTGCAATCAGTGCTTCCTTTTTTTTTTTAATGATCAAGAATCAATCATTTTGACTGCTATTGAACGTGCTTTAGAGCCATTGAAACTGGCGGTAAACGATCTGTGTCGTGAAGATGCTACATTGATGTCAGCCGAAAGTACATTCAGATTCATGATGGACAAAATACAACAACAAAACACTTCACTGAGTATGGCACGGACATCATCATTACATCGACGAATAAAAGAACGTCGCACAACATTAACTGGAGTGCTGCTTTATTTGGAAAACCCGATAAAGTATCTGGAAAGTAATTCTTTGTGGGCTGGAGATTAAAACACGTTCTCTTACACACACTTAGACATTAGTGTAGGCGTAACACAACGATAAGAATAAGGGACACAGATGCCTTTTCGCACAGACACAAAAAACAAAATAATTCTGTGCTAAACAACAAGCAGATGAACCAGCCTTAACAAGACCGAAAAGACAGAAACATGTTTTGGTGAAGTTAGACGGCCCATCAAGAAAGACTAGACGAAATTGTGGGGAATGCTACAAAACGAATGTCAAACCTTGGGTCGCAATTTTGTGCCATGACTGTTTCTTTAAACTGCATTTTTAGATTTTTGTTATATTTCTATGTGTCTTTGTATTTTTCTAAAGATAAGTTATGATATTTACATTTTCTATTTGAAGTGCTTTTTATCGAAGTTCATACATAATGATTGCAGGTTACTGATTTCAAGACTTTTATATATATATTTTAAAGGTTTAACAATCGTTGTAATGCCAAACATTTTGTAATATGATTGTTGATCTCTTTAATTTTTTATTTTATCATCTTTTGTGACCAACAATGTACCAAGGTACCAATTAATGTACCTGTCGCGTTTTTAAAGTTAATTATTTTATTGTAATTATATTATTAGTTAATCTGATTAAACGATTGATCTCATTATTTGCCATTAAACATTATATAAAAATATGACTTTGATTCATTTAAATTTTCAAATTATACACAATATAAAGGGTTTTTCAACAAGAACTTTGTTTTTCAATTGGGGCAACACCAAAAACATGACAGTTTTGACATTTAGTTTTTTGACCTATTCGTAGTAGATGCTTTGGCAATTGCTACAATGAATTCAATTTCGCTCGAAAATCGCATTAAAATAATTAAAATCCACTATGAAAATGGTGGTTCTGTTAAAGTTATGTTTCGTAAAATTCGTGATATTTTCGGACAACATAATCGTCCTTCTGAGACCGCTATTAAGAATTTGGTCGCTAAATTTGAATCGACAGGCTCGGTACAAAATGCGCCAACACCAACGCGTGTTCGACCGGGTCGTTCAACCGAAAACATCGCAGCCGTGAGCCACAGTGTTGAAGAAGATCCAAATTTGTCAATTCCTCGACGTTCTCAACAATTGGGGTTATCCAAAACCACCACATGGCGAATTTTGCGTAAGGATTTGGCTTTGAAGCCTTACAAGGTTCAACTGGTGCAGAAATTGAAGCTGACCGACCATTCACATCGCCGTAAATTCGCTCAATTCATTCAGGAACAGCCCGCTGGTTTTTCTGAAAAAATCATTTTTTCAGACGAAGCCCATTTTCACTTGTCAGGGTACGTCAACAAGCAAAATTGCCGCATTTGGGCTTCTGAAAATCCTAAAGCGATTATTGAGAAGCCTTTGCATGCTCAACGTGTCACTGTATGGTGCGCTATGTGGTCTGGAGGCGTGACTGGGCCGTTTTTTTTCGAAGATGAGGCTGGAAATGCGGTAATCGCGAGATGTTAACATCTCAATTTTGGCCTATTATTGATGACATCGATATCACAAACATGTGGTTTCAACAGGACGGTGCCACATGTCACACAGCCAACGAAACGATCAATTTATTGCAAACCAAATTTCCCGATCGCATAATTCCACGAAATTCAGCTGTTAAATGGCCAGCCAGATCGTGTGATTTAACACCACTGGATTATTTTTGTGGGGCTATGTTAAAGACAGAGTCTATACGGAGCCAATCGAATCGATCGCGGCCTTAAAACTCAAAATCCGTGACGTGATTAACGAAATAGACCCGCCATTTTGCCAAAAAGTGATTAAAAACTTTGATGAAAGAATCGACATCTGTCAGCGTGGTCGTGGTGGACATTTGCCAGATATCATTTTTCATTCATAATTGCCAAACTTTTCTCTTCGTAATACAATAAAAATTTGAATCATCTTCATCTAAACTCTTTGTTTTATTTTGTTTTAGAAAACAAAGTTCTTGTTGATTTAGAATGTATATTCTCAAATAAAAAAAAATCCAATCTTTATTCACCTATATTGGATAAGTAAGATAAATGAAACACAAGGTAAACCTTAATATTTTTCGTCACATTGCGTGTATATTATTGCCTACTGAACCCATTCTTTATTTGATACGAACTTGACGGAAAACGATTATAATAGTAACGACTTTCTAGAGCTTTAAAAATATTAAAAATTATCACCTTTCTAAATATAACATCACTCAATTGAACTTTTCATAATACATAGGCTGCACTAAAAGTATCGGGAATGGAACACTGTTCCTGTCATATTAAAATCTTTTTAATTGAAAACTCCTTGGTTTTAAAAATCGAATACCATTTATTTATTTAAAAAAAAGATTCTCGGTCTTGTCACACGGTTTTGTCAAACTTGTTTAGTCGTTGAGAAAATGGAATTGACTCGAGAAAATTCAAGAGCGATGATTTATTATGAGTTTCGAAGTGGTTTAACACAAAAACAGTGTGCTGACCGGATGATTCCTGCATTTGGTGATAAAGCCCCATCTAAAACCACAATTTATCGCTGGTTTGCTGAATTTCAACGTGGACGTGTCAAGCTCAGTGATGATCCCCGTCAAGGTCGTCCAAAAAACTGGAGTCACCCAAGAAAACGTTGATGCTGTGCGTAAGCTGATTGAGGAAGATCCACATGTGACATACCGCAAAATTTAGGCAACTTTAGACATTGGCATGAGTCAAATACAAATAATCTTGCATGAACAATTAGGTGTAAAAAAGTTGTTTTCCCGATGGATACCGCATTCGCTCTGTGAAGAGCAAAAAGCGACTCGCGTTACTTGGTGCGTCAGTACTCTCGAAAGATTCCACGCAGGATCCTCAAATGCTGTATACAACATCGTATCAGGTGACGAATCCTGGATATACGCGTCCAGTCACGAGTTTGGGTGTTCGAAAATGAGTTAAAGCCAACAAAAATTATTCGTTCACGGAGTGTTGCAAAAAAAATGGTGGCCACGTTTGTCTCCAAAACCGGCCATGTTACGACTATTCCTCTTGAGGGACAAAGAACGGTTAATGCAGAATGGTATGCTAGCATTTGTTTGCCACAGGTAGTTTCTGAACTCCGTAAAGAGAACTGCAACCGCCGTATCATCCTCCATCACGACAATGCGAGTTCTCATACCGCACACAGAACAAAAGAGCTTTTAGAGCAAGAAAACATAGAATTATTAGACCATCCGCCGTACAGCCCCGACCTAAGCCCTAATGATTTCTATACTTTCCCTAAAATAAAGAATAAATTGCGTGGACAGAGATTTTCATCACCTGAAGAAGCTGTGGACGCCTACAAAACGGCCATTTTGGAGACCCCAACTTCCGAATGGAATGGTTGCTTCAATGATTAGTTCCATCGTATGGAAAAATGTGTCAAATTTCGCGGAGAATACTTCGAAAAGCAATAAATACATTTTTAAATAGTAATGTTGTGTCACTTCCTTGATTCCCGAAATTTTCAGTGCCGCCCTCGTACTTACTATAAGTACTTAAAACATTTTCGGGAACAACTTGTAGAAAAGTCCATAAATTCAAAATCCTTTCGATTTTTTTTTGCCAAGCGGCTAAGCTGTAATACCCAGTCTACCCTAAATGAAACAATAGAATTTACTTAGAAGAAACAAATCGTATAATTAACTTTTAATCTGAATACATAAGGTGTATAATGTTTCATCTTTTACATTTGATCGGATTTTGCTGCACATATAGCCAGCAGCTGAAAATGCGCGTTCAGATTCAACGCTAGTAGGTGGAACGGACTTTACAAAGTTGTAAGTTGCTTCCAGATACTTCCCTCTGTTTCCTCCACATTCAAAAAGACTCATTTCTTGTTTTCTTATAAGATTAAGTGATATCGCCGGCTGTTGAGTAGTTGAAGATGGTGTTTATGTCCATTTTGTACGAATTCCTCTTCTAATATCAGTTCGCACAAGGTTGCATTAGCAGTGGATGTGACAGGAGATAAAGGTATATTGTCGTTTTTTTTTTATAGGATTGGGTGACAAACGAGCACACAGTCCACCTGATGGTAAGTGGTTGCTGCGGCCCATAGACATCTACATCTATCCTCTATTACAAATCAAAATGTAGATGCGTTGTCACCCGTGAGGACTAAGATGGAATGCCTCACTTCCAGTAAAAAGGGCCTCCGGCCACCTGCGAAAATACATGTCTTTTTGTTGCGATACATTCGGAAACGTGATGGAGCCGACGCGGGCAACAATAAAGACGGCGTCGGCATGGGGTACGTCGCTTATAATAAAGTCTTCTCTGAGGAGCAAGAACATCAGCTGTCAAGATATTTAAAACGTTGCGCAGAAATTTATTTTGGCCTTTCTCGAAAAGAGGTACGGAAATTAGCTTTTGAGCTTACCATAAAATACAATCTAAAGCGACCTGTTACTTGGGCTGAGAATGAAATGGCTGGTGAAGAATGGTTTGGTTCATTTATGATAGATAGAAATCCATCACTCTCTGTTCGCGTAGCTCAAGCTACTAGCCTTTCAAGAGCGACAAGCTTTAACAAAACTAACGTCAAAGCTTTTTATGACAATTTACAAATTGTTATGGATAGACATACTTATGAGCCCCAAGATATATACAATGTTGACGAAACAGGTGCCACAACCGTCCAAAAACCTGATAAAGTAGTAGCAAGACGTGGCATACGGCAAGTGGGAGCTGTTACTTCAGCCGAACGAGGCACATTAGTCACGGTCGCTTTTGCAGTAAATGCCTTGGGCAATACTATCCCTCCTTTATTAATATTTCCACGTGTTCGTTATCACGATCATTTTATTAGGGACGGACCAGTAGGATCGATTGTGACAGCAAATCCTTCTGGCTGGATGCAAGATGCATCGTTCCTAGTGTTTCTCGAACATTTTAAGAAGTTTCCTAATGCTTCCCCAGCGCATAAAGTCTTGCTAGTGCTGGATAATCATTCCTCGCATATCCATATTAACACGTTGGATTTTTGTAAAGAAAAGGGAATCACTTTGCTTTCATTTCCTCCACACTGCTCGCATAAACTGCAGCCCTTAGATCGATCTGTCTTTGGACCCTTCAAAAAAGCAATAAATACTGCTTGCGATGGATGGATGCGGAGTCACCCTGCAAAAACTATGACGATTTACGATAAACCAGGCGTTATCAAAACTGCTATGCATCTGGCTTTCACACAAGCGAACATTCAAGCTGGTTTTTGCAAAACTGGTATTTATCCGTATAATCGTAATCTGTTCCAAGAAATCGACTGTGCACCATCTTTTGTAACGGACAGAACAAACCCTGAAACTGAAAAGAATAGTCCCGCAGCACCATCTCTTGTACCGGACAGAGCAAACTCTGACATTGGAGAGACTAATTCTGCAGAATCATCTTTTGTAACGAACAGAACAAATTTTGACACTGAAGAAAACAATTCTGCAGCTAACAATGAAATACCATCGACACAAGAATTTGATTTTTTAGCTTCCTTTCAAACACACGGACCAAACCCAGACGATGGTAAGAAAAATCCTGGATCGATCGATGAAATACCGCAACATTCAGCTTCTTTATTGGGTGAATCTTCAACTTCAAATCAAAGCAATTTTCAACCAACTGCGTCATCCTCAACCACGCCACCTGTTTTTTCGCCTGAAATTATTCGGCCTTTTCCAAAGGCTCTCCAAAGAAAAACAAAAAGTTCCAGAACCAAAAAATCGACCATATATACAGACACGCCTGAAAACGAGACGGTTAGGCAAGAATATGAAGAAAAAAGGTCATAAATTCTGTCACATGTTTAATATAAAATAATTGAAACAAGTTTATTCATTACGTAACCATTTATATACCAAAATGAACTAAACAAAACATAGATTCTTATGACACTAAAGTTTATTCAAAATGACCTCCGTGATTTTGAATACAGGCCTTCAATCTGCGCGGCCAGTCGTCTATCGCAACACGAACGCGTGTGGCGAATTGGTGCAGGAATTGAAGCTGACCGACCATTCACATCGCCGTAGATTCGCTCAATTCATTCAGGAACAGCCCGCTGGATTTTCTGAAAAAATGCGGTCAATGGATCACGCTATCGCGAGATGTTAACATCTCAATTTTGGCCTATTATTGATGACATCGATATCACAAACATGTGGTTTCAACAGGACGGTGCCACATGTCACACAGCCAACGAAACGATCAATTTATTGCAAACCAAATTTCCCGATCGCATAATTTCACGAAATTCAGCTATTAAATGGCAAGCCAGATCGTGTGATTTAACACCACTGGATTATTTTTTTGTGAGGCTATGTTAAGGACAGAGTATATACGGAGCCAATCGAATCGATTGCGGCCTTAAAACTCAAAATCCGTGACGTGATTAACGAAATAGACCCGCCATTTTGCCAAAAAGTGATTAAAAACTTTGATGATAGAATCGACATCTGTCAGCGTGGTCGTGGTGGACATTTGCCAGATATCATTTTTCATTCATAATTGCCAAACTTTTCTCTTCGTAATACAATAAAAATTTGAATCATCTTCATCTAAACTCTTTGTTTTATTTTGTTTTAGAAAACAAAGTACTTGTTGAAAAACCCATTATATAGAATGTATATTTTCAAATAAAAAAAATCCAATCTTTATTCACCTATAGTAGATAAGTAAGATAAATGAAACACAAGGTAAACCTTAATATTTTTCGTCACATTGTGTGTATATTATTGCCTACTGAACCCATTCCTTATTTGATACGAACTTGACGGAAAACGATTATAATAGTAACGACTTTCTAGACCTTTAAAAATATTAAAAATTATCGCCTTTCTAAATATAACATCACTCAATTGAACTTTTCAAAATACATAGGCTGCACTAAAAGTATCGGGAATGGAATATTTCCACTGTTCCTGTCATATTAAAATCTTTTTAATTGAAAACTCCTTTGTTTTAAAAATCGAATACCATTTATTTATTTAAAAAAAGATTCTCGGTCTTGTTACACGGTTTTGTCAAACTTGTTTAGTCGTTGAGAAAATTGAATTGACTCGAAAAAATTCAAGAGCGATGATTTATTATGAGTTTCGAAGTGGTTTAACACAAAAACAGTGTGCTGACCGGATGATTTCTGCATTTGGTGATGAAGCTCCATCCAAAACCACAATTTATTGCTGGTTTGCTGAATTTCAACGTGGACGTGTCAAGCTCAGTGATGATCCCCGTCAAGGTCGTCCAAAAAACTAGTCACCCAAGAAAACGTTGATGCTGTGCGTAAGCTGATTAAGGAAGATCCACATGTGACATACCGCGAAATTCAGGCAACTTTAGACATTGGCATGAGTCAAATACAAATAATCTTGCATGAACAATTAGGTATAAAAAAGTTATTTTCCCGATGGATACCGCATTCGCTCTGTGAAGAGCAAAAAGCGGCTCGCGTTACTTGGTGCGTCAGAACTCACGAAAGATTCCACGCAGGATCCTCAAATTCTGTATACAACATCGTATCAGGTTACGAATCCTGGATATACGCGTACGAACCCGAAACACTTCTACTGCAGAATCATCTTTTGCAACGAACAGAACAAAGTTTGACACTGAAGAAAACAATTCTGCAGAAAGCAATGAAATACCATCGACACAAGAATTTGATTTGTTAGCTACCTTTCAAACACACGGACCAAACGCAGACGATGGAAAGAATAATCCTGGATCGATCGATGAAATACCGCAACATTTAGCTTATTTATTGGGTGAATCTTCAACTTCAAATCAATGCAATTTTCAACCAACTGCGTCATCCTCAACTACGCCACCTGTTTTATCGCCTGAAATTATTCGGCCTTTTCCAAAGGCTCTCCAAAGAAAAACAAAAAGTTCCAGAACCAAAAAATCGACCATATATACAGACACGCCTGAAAAAGAGACGGTTAGGCAAGAATATTAAGAAAAAGAAAGACGGTTGAAGGCTAAGCAGGTAAAAATAAATCTTGCTGAACCAAAAGGGAAAAACAAAGGAAAAAGCAAAGAAAAGAAAAGAAAGACACCACCGTCGTCATCGTATGAAGAAGAGAATTTCTGTATAATTTGTATGGGCGCATATTCTGAAAGTAAGGCTGGCGAGAAATGGATCAAATTCCAAGGAAAATGTGAGCTCTGGTCCCACTTAGTGCGCAGGTGGTAGTCGCCATTATATTTGTCATAACTGTATTTACTCTGACTAGGTCTCGGTATCTTATTTTTTTAGTTTTTATTACTAAAAACGAACTTTAGATGCCTTCTATTTTTTTGATTTTGCATGTTGATACTTACACAAATGTTTAGTTTTTGTTGAAGAAGAGGTTTTGAATTAATATTTACTTTGTATTTTAACACAGTTACCCCAATATATTAGAAATGTTTAGTTAAGTTTTTTGACTGATTGTAATATGAATATTGTTATAATAGATCTGTTTTGTAGTAATACCGATTAGATTATAATTAAAGACTGCAGTAGACTATAGTACTCGTAACTGTAGACTCTACAGTAACATTTTTTTATTTAGTTATTTTAAGCCAAAAAAGTGTTCCTAGACTTTATTTCTTTTGTTACGTTAATGTTCAATTTATCCAGAAGAAGATTTATGTTGCCTTATGTAAGACATTATTTGCAATAAAAGTGATTTTTAGACTGTTTTTGCGTATTTTTGAACCTGTCACTACCGACCCCAAGCACTGTCACAACCGCCCCTGAGGTGTGGCCGGTTGTGGCATTATTCCATTTTTTCCTGATTTGCTCGTGTAAGGTAACCATTGTACTTAAGTGCAAAATTTTTGTATTTTGACGTAGATAAATGTATACTTTAATATAAATCACATCTTTAAAGTTAAGTGGCATACTAACAAAATTATCGGCGAGCCATTGAAAATTGTCACAACCGTACCCAGTCTACCACGCTCTCGCAGAAATAGCAGCTTAACGCTGCCGTGGTTCGTATGGTGAGTGTAGAGAACCGGAGACCCTTTTTACTGGCAAAGAGGCATTCCATCTTAGTCCTCACGGGTGACAACGCATCTGCATCTTGAGTCTTTATTGAGGATAGATGTAAATGTCTATGGGTCACAGTAACCACTTACCATCAGGTGGACTGTGTGCTCGTTTGTCACCCTTATCATATAAAAAAAAAATGTTGTGGGCTAGTAATTCTAAAATATTGTACAATCCTGCAAATCTTACGGATCCGCGGGACGGATGGTCTCAATCTTGCGGATTTGCAAGATTATCTTTTGTGTGCTGGATTACATTCCCTACCTATATCCAATTCATATTAAAAAACAAAAAGAAATGTCATGTTCTAATTTGCTGTACGGTCCAAACCAAATGTACCAGAGACGTCCGTCTTACGCGTGAGTGTTTCTATATAGTTTGTGACTACAACATACCGCGATTTAAAACTGTACGTACGTCATCTGTAACTCGTCTTCTGAACTAATCTTAACACTTATCTTAACATAATAGCCCACCAAGAACAAATATGACATTTGTCCTTCAACAACAACACAAATGCCTTTTAACTTGTATGTAATCTAGAACTTCACATGAAAATTTATACTCTTTACACAATACTGTAATGTTGTGTTGTACCTGGAGCTCAGGTATTAATGAGGAAACGTGTTGTTCGATGACTGAGTAATTTATTAATGTCTCCTATATCTACTACAAGACAGTTTTATTAGGTAATCTACTTAGGTACTTACACCACTACAATACAATAAAAATTGAGAATTTAGAAAACATTATTCAGTAGCAATCCGAAGCAGACAATTTGGAAATTGGACGTTTATATGTTCCATTTTTTTGTTTTTAAAGTTATTACTCGGACCAAATTGTCTTGTCCAAAATGAGTTTCAGTCACTCTGCCACAAAAACAACGTCACCCACCTTGGGCTATATATAGGAGAGGGCTAAAGAACATGCGGCTCACCTGATGGTAAGTGTCGACCGCCGCTCATGAACAACTCCAACACCGGGGGGGCAGGTGCGTTGCCGGTCTTTTAAAAAGGAGTAATCTCGTTTCTTGAAGGTCCGGAAGTCGTATCGCACCGGAAAAATCGCATTTGGTAAACGACTCCACAAAAAATTCGTGCGATATATACATCACAATATTATATTTCTGTTATGGAAAACTGCCGCCGCATGGACAAAATATTCACTAGGCTTCATAAAGATTTCAAACCGGTAACACCTTTACATAATTATATATCATTAACCGAAAATCTGATGTAAATAAACAAAAAATATCTCGACCTTTTTCAATATTTCAATTTCAATAAATGTTTGATATAGAAGACTTCACGAAATCAAGACTCGATGAGGAACATAGAGAATACATCAAGAGATGGAAAGAGTTTGAAACAAAAACCGAATTTCGCACTTGATCTTCCTATCCTATACCCGAATGTGCGTGAACTATCAGCTGCAAAAATTGAAGATCTAAAAGAATTTTTAAGGATCAGATGCAAAAGTATATATATATATATATATATATATATATATATATATATATATATATATATATAAATTACGTGTCACATTGTTTGACCGCGATGGACTCCTAAACTACTGAACTGATTTCAACGACATTTTGCACACTGTGTGCCGTTTGGTCCAACTTGACAGATAGGATATCCCGATAAATGATCCTCAATTTTTTTATTGCTAATCTCAGGGAGTCAAAAAATTAGGAAAGCAAATGGTTGTCGGAAAGGGCAGAATAACGTCTGCCTGGTCAGCTAGTGTATATATACCTAGTCAGGTCATAAGTATTGTCACACAGTAAAATCTTTTCTTTTAGAATGCTGGCCACAAATTTTTTATTGAATTCGAATTTTGAATTGTTCATGAAAATAAAACTGTATACTTTTTGGAATTTTACTCATTTTTAAATATGGAGTGGACGCTTAAAGAAGACCGTGTTGCAGTTATTGCGTTGCATCGTTGCGGTTACGCGTCAAATCAAATTTTTGACATACTGTAAAATTTGAATATTACCAAAAGATTCGTTTATCGTACCATCAAACGATACAATGAAGACTCTAGTGTAGATGACAGGTCAAGAAGTGGTCGCCCTCGGTCTGTTAGAACTCCAGCACTGATAAAAGATGTGAAGGCGCGAATTCAAAGAAAAATCCCAAACGTAAGCAGAAACTGTTGGCCCTTCAGATGGGGTTAAGCAGAACCACGGTGAAAAGGGTGTTAAATGAAGACTTAGGGCTTCGGGCATATCGAAGAAAAACAGGACGTCGTTTGAATGCTCGTCTAATGGACTTGAGACTGAAGAGATGCCGCGCTTTGTTGAAGCGGTACGCGGGAAAAAAATATCGGGAAATTCTTTTTTCGGATGAAAAAATTTTTACCGTAGAAGAGAGCTACAACAAACAAAATGATAAGGTGTACGCACACAGTAGTGAAGAAGCGAGCAACCGTATTCCGCGTGTCCAACGAGGTCATTTTCCATCCTCACTCATGGTATGGTTGGGAGTTTCTTATTGGGGCTTAACAGAGGTACATTTTTGTGAGAAAGGTGTAAATACGAATGCAGTTGTGCATCAAAATACAGTCCTGACGAACCTTGTGGAACCTGTTTCTCATACCATGTTCAATAACAGGCACTGGGTATTCCAACAAGATTCGGCGCCAGCTCATAGAGCGAAGAGCACACAAGACTGACTGGCAGCGCGTGAAATCGACTTCATCCGGCACGAAGACTGGCCCTCCTCCAGTCCAGATTTGAATCCGTTAGATTACAAGATATGGCAACACTTGGAGGAAAAGGCGTGCTCAAAGCCTCATCCCAATTTGGAGTCACTCAAGACATCCTTGATTAAGGCAGCCGCCGATATTGACATGGACCTCGTTCGTGCTGCGATAGACGACTGGCCGCACAGATTGAAGGCCTGTATTCAAAATCACGGAGGTCATTTTGAATAAACTTTAGTGTCATAAGAATCTATGTTTTGTTTAGTTCATTTTGGTATATAAATGGTTACATAATGAATAAACTTGTTTCAATTATTTTATATTAAACATGTGACAGAATTTATGACCTGACTAGGTATATATTATGTATGTTACCTCAGAACCTTTTTCCAGGTGAACCGATTTTCTTTTTCTTTTTTTTTTTCTTTTTTCTTTTAAAAACGTTACCCCCGCAATAGGATTTTCTCCTGTGTCGTGGAGGCAGTTTACAAACATAAATTGCACAAGGACAAACATCCAGACCCGGAACAATTATTTGTAGGCCATACAAATACTTGTTCCGTGCGGGATTCGAACCCGCGGCCCCCAGCGCAACAACTGATTGCTAAGCCTCTGCGCCACGGAGCCGTCAAAATTTTGATGATTATTTTTTATTTGAAAGCTGGTGCTTCTCATGTCCCACATAAATTTGACCAAGATCTGTAGTTTTCAAATTATCCTTAATAATACGTATTTAATTGATGATGTTCTCATTTTATTTATATTGAAGTCGGTTGTACAATTTTTTTAATTTTTTTTTTATAGGAGAGGGGGCAAACGAGCTTGCGGCTCACCTGATGGTAAGTGACTACCGCCGCCCATGAACAACCGCAACACCAGGGGAATTGCAGATGCGTTGCCGGCCTTTTAAAAAGGAGTACGCTCTTTTCTTGAAGGTCCCTAAGTCGTATCGGTCCGGAAAAATCGCTGATGGTAATCGATTCCACAAGGAGGTCGTGCGAGGAAGAAAACATCTTCTAAATCGCACAGTGGTGGACCGCCAATCATCCAGATGGTGTGGATGGTATCGGGAGTTCTGCCGCGATGTTTAATTTTATCACTTGTATAGATTTTCTTTTTTGTTGTTTATAAATCACTGTAGTCGAGTTCACAGAAAACAAATTTATTATGGAGCAGCATCAAAAGGAAACACAATATACCCGAAAAATCATTATTTATCACACAAACAATAGTTCGAGCAGGGTTTCGCGAAACTGCGACCGTCGCGTCGGTTTAGCAGTGAGCAGGTCAACGCGAAACGGTAGACATATACTCACTTCACGGAAGAACTCTCACGGTGTTTTTTAGCACGCTTGAAATGTAACTTTAGGGTATCCTGCAAATGAAAATAAACGTAAATTATAGAATAGATACAAGAGTACAACACAAAATATAATTATACAGAATGACGTTTGTGGTTCCATACATGAATACGTGGTAAAGACACGCTGCAGCTATATTATAGGTTGTAGTAGCACGAATAGGTCTGGTTGTAGCACTGTGAATAAACGAATACGTTCATTTCTCATCATAGTCACACGTAACAATGTGCTTATTATGTTTAGTCTGACTCCGATAAGTTACTTAGTTTAGATTACTGACGGGTCCATTGCCTTTAATATAAGTGTTTAACAAACTGCCTAGCGACATAAAGTCATTGCCTCTTAGTAAATTTAAAAGCAAACTTTTTATGTGGTTGGTGGACAGGGCTTTCTATAATATTAAAGAGTTTTTTAATTACAAATAAATTCACTTGACCATTAATATAATTTTTGTAATGTATTATGATTTTAAATATGACTACTATAATAATAAAAATAATTGTACTGTTTAAATAATAACTAATTTTAATTCAATTTAATTCAATTCAATCTGTTTGTAATTAATTATGATTTTAAATATGAATACTATAATAATAATAATTGTACTGTTTAAATAACTAATTTAAATTTAAGTGATCATATACTTAAATATTTGCACGTCTTAACAGGACAAAACATGTTGATCTTTTATTTAATGTAACAACTTATTTACCGTGTTTTATGCAAATAAATGATTCTTGATTCTTGATTCTTGATTTTACTTAAACGCGTACTTATTTAGCATTTAGAAAAAAAAACAATAATAATTTGGCGCTTTAAAATAAATGTTTATATAAAAATCAATTTGTTTCAGTGTCCGAGGATGTCAAAGTCTCGCCTATTTACATTTATGAATCTCTAGTTATCCATTTGATTATTTAATTTATCGAGTATTTCGATGTGATGAAACACACGGTACAGACTTAACCTCAAAAACTATTTAACCAAAAACTGAGTTATCACCAGCGTATTCCAATACAGAATGTCGCTAAAACTTCAGTTTTAAAATAACAATGTCAATACAAACTAAAGAACACGTGCACAAGAGCAACTCTTGTTATGGACAAATGGTTTGCAATAACTGATGATGGCTGTCACTGTATATGTGCGAGCGCAACGGTAATATATTTAAGCGCGAGTGAGTATAACAAGTAATGACGGGTCATTGTACGAAATTCTTTGTGTTGGGCGACCGGACTTCACAATAGTTGTGGACCTGTTGGGTACGCTGCTGAAATAAATTAACTTACCATGGATTTAAACTTGATGTCGCACTCCACGCAATAATAGTCCCTACGTATATGCACCGACTGGACATGTTTCTGTAGCAACGTGGGGTAGACGAAACTTAAGTTGCACTGGTCGCATTGGAAACGCTTCGTGTTGTCGTGCCGCCTAATAGAAATGAATAGAAATGTAGTTAGTTTTCTTTGAAAGCACTAAATGGCTACATCGGGCACGGATTGTTATGATGAGTATATATGCCAGTGTTTGCACATACGTTGCACTCAAAAGTCATCGATGGTAACGTATACCAGTGCTTGGACGTCGGTTATATAACTCTTTCATACACTGACATTTGAGTAGGTAGCTCCGTAACGGACACCTAAAGTTCCATTCTCATCAACATCATCATCACCATCATTATCAATCTACCTTTTGTTTTTTTATATATACACATGTAGATCTATATTTTATTAATCTTAATAAAATAAAGATAATAAAATAATAAAATAAAATGTAGCGTAGACATTTTTGAAGAAATATAGAAAAAAGTGTGTAACTCAATAGGACTTTCCATTGCAATGTATTTTATGTCGACGTATTTAATTGAATTTTTACCATATATGTGTTTTCTTTGTGATAATTTAAACATAAAAACTTGACTAAGAAGTATATTTTGTAGGTTTTGAACTATAAATATACATACCCTATAGTGAAAAATAATAATAAAAATTGTATTTCAATATATTCGATTTCTAGGAGGACATTGCTAAAACAGCTATTTGTTCACATATAAAGCTCTGTTTTTTGAGAGAAAGCAAATATATTAACAATATTGACACATATTTTGGGTGCCAAAGTTTTCAGTAAAAAAACAATTAAATCTTATAAAAATGTTGTATTTATTTTTGGAACACGGGAAAAATACATATCGACAACAAAATAAAAAAAATGCCCAAGAATCAAATAGCAGATGCGTTGTCACCTATGAGGACTAAGATAGAATGCCTCTTTTCCAGTAAAAGGAGTCTTGGTATTTTGTGAGAGCGTGGTTCTACGCCGGGCGAGCGAACCCATTTGTGCTGCAACTGTATAGCTGCATGGCTCTACCACATATTGAACACGTGAGAGGCGGCCATGTTCAGTAGTGGACTGTTAAAAGTTACAGCATATATACGTCCCACTGTTGGGCACCGGCCTTCTCTTACTTCTGGAGACAATTTTAGGGAGTACAAGGAAGTGTACGCCGCGCTGCCCCAATGCGTGTTGGCGAACTTCACATGCAGGTATCCTCACGACGTTTTCCTTCGCCACCGAGCGAGTGATAAAACAGCATTTAAAATTACAATTAACAATTTCATTGGTACCGGCGAGGATTGAACCTGGGTTCTACCACGGCCCTTAGTACATCGTGGCTCTACATTTTTTTTAGAATAAGGGTGACAAACGAGCACACAGTCCACCTGATGGTAAATGGTTGCAGTGGCGCATAGTCATCTACATCTATCTTCGATTACGAATCAAAGGCAGATATGTTGTCATCCGTGAGGACTAAGATCGAATGCCTCTTTTCCAGTAAAAAGGGTCTCCGGTTCTCCACACTCACCATACGAAACACTGCAGAGTTAATCTGCTATTTTACGTTGGTATTCTGTGAGAGCGTGGTCCTTCCCCGGTCGAGCCGACCCATTCGTGCTACAACTATATCACTAATATAACTACAGCGTGGCTCTACCACGTACAAATACTCTACAATACTCACATGGTGTGAACTCTCAGTGACTCGAGGCTCTTGTAAAGCTTGCCGCACTTGTGGCACGCGTGACGTTCCGTGCGGTTGTGGAGACGCACGTGACGTTGCATCACTGTGCGTTTGCTGTAAAAAGAAAGTAGGGCACACCATTGACTCGTCTCTTTGTATTTATATTTTATTGATTATTTATCTATACAAATAAATAAAATTGAAGTGTCTGTTTGTAATGTCAAAATTACAGCTTTTTACTAAATGCATAAGAAAGTATATACGGTATTTATAACAAAAATACAATTTTTTTTTAATTTGTCTTTCTGTCTGTCTGTTTGTTCCGGCCAATCTCCGAAACAGCTGGACCAATTTTGACGGGACTTTTATTGCCACATGGCTGACTCCATAAGGAGTAAATTAGGCTACTTTTATTTTAGAAAAAGAATTAGGGTTCCTCGCATTAAAATTAAAACCTTAAATTACACACGAGCGAAGTCACGGGGAACAGCTAGTATATTAAATTAAAAATTTAAAGACCCTCGAAACAACATGTGGTAAATTTAAAATTTTGTTCAAACGACTTCAATATAAATATAATTTATTGTCAATTTTTTAAAAACCCATCGACCGATTTCGATAAAATTTAAATGGGACCACATGGGAAGTATATTTTTGCAGAAAAAAAAGAATTGTCAAAATCAGTTTAGTCGTCTTGGAGTAATTGGTGAACATTTTCACGTGGTAGAGTCATGCTGCAGCTATATTATTGGTATAGTTGCAGCACGAACGGGTCGGCTTGACCGGGGAAGGACCACACTCTCACAGAATACCAGCGTAAAATAGCAGTTTAACACTGCTGTGTTTTTGATGGTGAGTGTAGAGAACCGGAAACCCTTTTTACCGGAAACCAGACACTCCATCTTAGTCCTTCTGGGTGACAACGCATCTGCCTTTTGATTCGTAATCGTGGATAGATGTAGATGTCTATGGGCCACAGCAACCACTTACCATCAGGTGGACTGTGTGCTCGTTTGTCACCCTTATCCTATAAAAAAAAGATTCCAACGAATTGAGAACCTTTTCCTTTTTTGAAGACATTTGAAAAGAGAAGATTATCATCAAACGGCTGGAAACATTTTCTTGAATCGTAGCTAAAAACACGCTCGATCAAGTCACCTTTCAAATAAAATAAACTATATCTAAATCGGTTCATCCATTTAGCGGTTACGATGTCACAGACAGACACACAAATAAACAGAAACATATATATATACATAGATACACATGCTAAACATATAACACCATTCTTTTACGTCGGGGTTTGAAAACAGCATATTATCTTTATAAATATTCTATAAGAATTACGTGTCACATTATTTGCCCGCTATGAACTCTTAAACCACTGAACTGATTACAATGAAATTTTGCACACCACGTGCAGTTCGGTTCAACTTGAGAGGTGGAATAGTTTATATCCCGATAAGGCACACTCACCATATTTTATTGTGATTTAAAGGATTTTTTTATAGGATAGGATGACAAGCGAGCACACAGTTCACCTGATGGTAAGTGGGTGCTGTGGTCCATAGACATCTACATCTATTCTCGTTTGCGAATAAAATGTAGATGCGTTGTCACCCGTGAGGACTAAGATGGAATGCCTCGTTTCCAATAAAAAAAGTCTCCGGTTCTCTACACTCACCAAACGAAAGACAGCAGTGTTAAGCTGCTATTTTACGCTGGTATTCAGTGAGAGCGTGGTCCTTCCCCGGTCGAGCCGACCCGTTCGTGCTGCAACTGTACTATTGATATAGCTGTAGCATGGCTCTACCATTATAAAATTGTTTTTTATAGGAAGACAAAAGCTCGTCGAAAAGTGCAAAACAACGTCTGTCTGGCCAGGTTATTATATTTTTATTGATAGAGTAACTTCCAATCTAAACAAATATATATCCCATATACTGCACTCTTTTGTGACCTTGAATGTCAAATATTTATGTGCTCGGAATAAACTAATTTGACAGATTTCATCACGTTTAGTTTTAATATTTTTAATTCCCGACGTTGTGGGAACTTTACATCATCTATATTCACAGAGGGGAATATAAATACAATTTCTGCGCACACTATGCATGCTGCAGCTGTATTAATTGTATAGTTTGTAGCACGAACCAGAAACCCTTTTTACTGGAAACGATGCATTCCATCTAAGTCCTCACAGCTGACAAGGCATCTGCATTTTGACTCGCAAACAAGGATAGATGTAGATGTCTATGGGCCACAGCAACCACTTATCATCAGGTAGACTATGTGCTCGCTTGTCAAAAAAAAAATTCTATTCTAGTCATACATATTTCTACTTACTTGGTGGTGAACACGCATTGCTCACAGCTGTATGCCGCCGAAGCGTTGGAATGGACGATAGTATAATGTTCTAGGACGTGCTGCCTAGACAAACGGATGTAGCCGCATATTTTGCATTTGTACCTGTAAGGAAAGTTAACCAAATTTAGAATGGCTACAGTAGCCAAATAGATAGGGACTAAACTGAAAATTCGAATCTATCATTCGATTACTGTTTGTATACTTCAGGAAGTTTTTAAAAGCATATTTTTAATAGAATAAGGGTGACGAACGAGCACACAGTCCACCTGACGGTAAGGGGATGTTGTGGCCCATATTTATCTACTACATTTTTATCCTCAATTGAGCATCAAAATGCAGAAGCATTGTCACCCCTGAGGACTAAGATGGAATGCATTGTTTCCAGTAAAGAAGATATTGGCCCCAAACGCCATATATTTTAATTCATGAAACATAATTTGTAGTAGTTTGTCGTTTTCTACCGACTTGAAAAAGGAGACTGTACTCAATTCGAATGTATTTTTTTATGTGTGTTACCTCATAACTTTTTACTGGGTGAACCGATTTCGATGATTCTCTTTTTATTTGAAAGCTGGTGCTTCTCATGTGGTCACATATAAATTGATTAAGGTGTGACCAATAGGTTTTGAGTTATTCTTTATCATTTATATTGAATCGGTTGTACAAAATTTTTAATTTTAAATTATATTAGACAGATAATGATATAAAAACACTATACTTTTGACCGTATAGTGGCGGTGTAAGAATATCCACTACGCCATATCATCTCGTGGGCGTCGTAAGATGCGACAGAGGGAAACAAATCAGGAGATGGGCAGCAGCGTCTGCCTAATAACGACTAAAAATAAAAAAACTGCAGTTGCCCACTCACTTGTCAAGCGTGGCAACTATGGCAAATATCCCCCCTATGAGGCAATCTATTGGGGAGGCCTATGTTCAGCAGTGGACTTTAATAAGATGTAACGGTATGCTCCTGATGGACGATATTTTGATAATTGTTAATCAATCGATGATAAAAATAATCTAATATCAACTTCTCTGCATATACGCAGCGCCACGGGAATATGCACATCTGTAGCCTTTTCATACGTGGTAGAGCCGTGCTGCAGCTATATTAGTAGTATAGTTGTAGCACGAATGGGTCGGCTCGACCGCGGAAGGACCACGCTCTCACAGAATACCAGTGTTAAATAGCAGCTTGCCACTGTTGTGTTTCGTATGGTGAGTATAGAGAACCGGAGACCCTTTTTACTGGAAACGAGGCATTCCATCTCAGTCCTCACGGGTGACGACGCATCTGCATTTTGATTCTTTATTGAGGATAAATGTAGATGTCTATGGGTCACAGCAACCACTTACCATCAGATGGACTGTGTGCATGTTTGTCACCCTATCCTATAAAAAAAAATTGGTAAACGCATAAACGAATTTCAACAAGTATTCCTGTAATCTAGATTCCATTCCTCTCCTCTTATCAAGGGTCACTAGTGATACAAGACTTCCCTACATGGCCTCCACCACCATTACTAGTAGAAGCACTTTCATTTAATATTTTCACCATAATTGAAGTGGTAGACGGGAATATTTTTTATACCAGACGGGTACACACGAGCATGCGGCTCACCTGATGGTAAGTGACTACCGCCGCCCATGAACAACTGCAACACCAGGGGAATTGCAGATGCGTTGGCGGCCCTTTAAAAAAGCGTCGGCTCTTGAAGGTCCCAAGTCGTATCGGTCCGGAATCTCTGGTGGTAGTAGATTCCACAAGGAAGTTGTGCGAGGAAGAGAACTTCTTCTAAATCGCACAGTGGTAGACCGCCAATCATCCAGATGGTATGGATGGTATCGCGAGTTTTGTCGCGATGTACGATAGCGAATTTAGGTGACTGGAATTAGTCCGAACAATTCCTTAGAGCACTCCCCGTGGTAGATGCGATAAATTAAGTTATTAATAAAGTTAGTATCCCGTCGTCGAAAAGTCGAAAGTGCTAGACTTATCAATTATTAGTTATTACCTGGTGGTATGGGACTTCATGTGACCCCTGAGAGAAACTTGAGTCGGACAATGTTGCGAGCACAGCTCACATTGCAGTGGGCCATTTTTCTGTAACAATATTGTAGAGTCAAATGATTATGTACCTACAGTTTACATGTTATTATAAGTGATTTGTAAGTTAAGTTGTTATTTTTTATTTCAAAACTAGCGATCTACCCCGGCCTCGCACGGGTGGTTTATGGATCTCAACAACAACGCCACCTACCGGGTCCAATTGTGAATATAAACCATCCAGGGGCCAACTCAAACACATAAAAAATTCCATCAGAGCAGGTCAGGACAGTTTCGACTTTTAGCAAGACTAATGGTCAGCAATTGATTTTTATGATATTTTTTACGTGGTAGAGCCATGCTGCAGTTATATTAGTAGTATAGTTGTAGCACGAATGGGTCGGCTCGGCCGGGGAAGGACCACGCTCTCACAGAATACCAGCGTAAAATAGCAGCTTGACACTGCTGTGTTTCGTATGGTGAGTGTAGAGAACCGGAGACCCCTTTTACTGGCAAAGAGGCATTCCATTTTAGCCCTCACGGGTGACAACGCATCTGCATCTTGAGTCTTTATTGAGGATAGATGTAGATGTCTATGGGTCACAGTAATCACTTACCATCAGGTAGACTGTGTGCTCGCTCGTTTGTCACCCTATTCTATAAAAAAAAATGTCTAGCTTTATTTAAATATATTTTTTTTATAGAATAAGGCACGAGCACACACTCCACCTGCTACATCTACATCTATACTCGTTTATGAATCAAAATGCAGATGCGTTGTCAGCCGTGAGGACTAAGATGGAATTCCTCTTTTCCAGTAAAAAGAATCTCCAGCTCTCTACACTCACCATATGAAACACAGCAGCGTTAAGCTGCTATTTTACGCTGGTATTCTGTGAGAGCGTGGTCCTTCCCCGGTCGAGCCGGCCCATTCGTGCTACAATTATACTATTAATTTAGCTGCAGCATGGCTCTACCACGTATATCTGTTCATCCATCTGTACCCTTCATCCGGATCTGATGATCTGATCTTCTGAATGGCTGAACCGAATATGATGAAACGTCATGAAAAGATAAGTAATTTTTGTCAAAAAATTTAAAATTTTAATTAAATGATGTTTAATTATATTAAATCTAAATAACACCACATTAATAAAAAACACAGGCGAAGCCAGGGCGGGTCGCTAGTTTATTAATATATTTATTGTATATGTGCAACCACTAGATTAGATTAGACCTATGCTCAGTATGCCAGGTCTCACCAGGATCCCTCACCGGAGAATGCTTTTCCATATGACTCTCAAGGACGTCTTCGAAGTTGAAGCCTTTCACGCATTTCTCACACTTGAACGGTGCTCTCAAATATTTTTCGCTCTTCAAGCGTTCCTTCATTTCTTCCAACACCTGTAAATATTGAAAAATACCTTGTTTATTAGTACAGTGCAACCTCGATATAACAAATCGGAAGGGAACAAGTAAATATTCGTTGTATCACGTAATTTGTTGAACTGAGGTTTATTATGTTTAGGTTAGGTTGGTCTTAAATTCGTTATAAAGAGATAAATGATAACACATTTTTATCAAATTTCTGTATGTATTTAAAAACAATGAGGTAGGTCACAATTATTGTTTTACGAAAACAATGATTGTTTTACGAACGAAAGCTTGTCGAAACCTGTTGCGACATTAATCACATACTATGAAATTAAGAGTCATACATTGGTGGGAACTTTATATAAAGGTTTTGGGTTGACAAAATTCATTAATTAGTATTTATACTCTTGATAGTTGAAAATTCGGTATTTTTTTTATAGGATAAGGGTGACAAGCGAGCACACAGTCCACCTGATGATAAGTGGTTGCTGCGGCCCATAGACATCTACATCTATCCTAGTTTGCGAATCAAAATGCAGATGCGTTGCCACCCGTGGGGACTAGGATGGAATGCCTCATTTCCAGTAAAAAGGGCCTCCGGCCACCTGCACTCACCAAGCGAAACGCAGAGGTAAACCTCTACTTCACGCTGGTATTCTGTGAGGTCGTGGTACCACCCCGGTTCGAGCCGGCCCATCCGTGCGACAGCAAAAGCTGCCGCGTGGCTCTACCACTGTTAAAAATTTACTAGTTTACTATAAAAAGGTTGTTTGCAAAAAATGTTTGTAATGTTAATGGGTTATTTTACTTTAACTCTTATGGACAATTCAAGGGGATTACGAAGAATTTGTTAAATTGAGGAAGTCGTTATATTGAGTTACGTTATATTAAGGTTACACTGTAATTACCATTAGAATTAAATTACTTCTCTTAAAAAAAAATCTATTATTCCACTACTAAATTTAAGCTTTTGATAGATTGCCTCATGGGGATAATTTTGCCATAGTTGCCAAGCTTGGCAGGCGGGTTGGCAGCAGCAATATTTTATTATTTTGATTTGTCTTCAGGAAGATGCTGATGCCCATCTCCTGTTTCAGCTTCTCTCTGTCGTCTCTAACAACAATTACGGAACAATATGGAATAGTGGATATTTTTACACCACAACACAATGTATAAAAATAAATATATACACAATTGAAATAAACACAAAGACCGACATAAGACGAATGTGAATGATTTATTCGACCAATCATTGTAACAACAGTTTGAGTAATTTTTTTTATAGGATCGGGTGACAGACGAGCACACAGTCAACCTGATGGTAAGTGGTTACTGTGACCCATAGACATCTACATCTATCCTCAATAAAGACTCAAGATGCTGATGCGTTGTCACCCGTGAGGACTAAGATGGAATGCCTCTTTGCCAGTAAAAAGGGTCTCCGGTCTCTCTACACTCACCATACGAAACACAGCAGCGTTAAGCTGCTATTTTACGCTGGTTTTCTGTGAGAGCGTGGTCCTTCCCCGGTCGAGCCGACCCATTTGTGCTACAACCATAATATAGCTGCATCATGGCTCTACCATGTAGAGAATAATATATACACAATTGAAATAAACACAAAGACATAAAACGAATGTGAATGATTTATTCGACCAATCATTGTAACAACAGTTTGAGTAATTCAAATGATAAAACCATAAGAATATGAAATGTTAATTGAATATCGACTATCTCTAGTCAGTAGCATACCTGTTCCTTTGTCAACTTGATGACAATGTATTCGTTTGTCTCCTGAACCATTCGAGAGGTGAAGCCCTCTCGGATAACTTTCTTCGGCTTCTTTAGTTTGATTTTGTCCAATTTACCATCCGATCCTTTAATTTCTTCTAATTTTACATCAGATTCAGTCTTTAAATTATCTTCTTCTTTAATCTGAAATAATAGCTTAGATATAAATTTTCATTTCGTCTGCTTGGTTTTTGGTATAAATCCGGCTTAAAGGACAAAAAATATTTAAAGTAAATTTTAACATGTAGCACAGAAACTGCCAAATGTTAAATGGAATAGAATAAGTCATTTATTGTGCTAGCTGTAGGTTTTAGAGATGTAACATTACACTAGTATTCAAATCATGGAACTTAAAACACTATCTCATTATTCATTAAATCAAATCAACAAACACGGATAATAAATCATGATGTCATACAATCAAATATTTCAACAAACATGGTCAATAAATAATAATGTCAAAAGTACAATGGAATTACACCAGTATAAAAATTTATATATATAAATTTAAACAGTAAATAATATAAATGCAAGTAAGTTTTTATAGCAGTTATTAATTGGATACATAAATATACACTATAATTTACATACATCACGTTTATATTTATTACATTTGTCTATTTATTTTAAAATATCGTTATTTAATTAATCTTTGTATCACGTTCACACACACACACACACATTCACTCACTCTGACATACACACCGTAATTGGCTTCAAGATCTATCTTATAAGTTCTGAGTGTAAATAGATTGTTACAAGCTGTGGATTTTGTGAATAAATAAAATATAATCTAAGTACAAAAAGGCAGAAATAAAATTAGTTCAACATTCTGATTCCGAGCAAAGTTTATGAATATACTGTAATTTTGTAAAAGTATTAACTGTAACATACTAACGATATTATTAACAATACAGTATCCTTATTTTAAGGGTTAGAGAGCCAGTATATTTTAGTACTCAGAGGTGACAAATGGTTATGCATCTAAGGACTTCTTTGATTGAAGTTGTTTGCAGGTTTCCATGGGCAGAAGTAGCCACTTATTTTAATAGAATTTTAGCGACACACGAGCACACAGTCTATCCGATGGTAAGTGGACGCTGTGGCCCATAAACATTTACATTTATCCTCGATTAAGAATCAAAATGCAGATGTGTTGTCACCCCTAGGGTCTAAGATTGATTGCCAAGTTTCAAGGAATAAGGGTCTGTGGTTCTCTATACTTACTATGAATTTTTTATGTGGTAGAGCCATGCTGCAGCTATATTAATAGTATATTTGTAGCACGAATGGGTCGGCTCCTTTTTACTGGAAAAGAGGCATTCTATCTTAGTCCTCACGGGTGACAACGCATCTGCATTTTGATTTGCAAGTGAGGATAGATGTACTACTCTTTTCCAGTAAAAAGGGTCTCTGGTTCTCTACACTCACCATACGAAACACAGCAGTGTTAAGCTGCTATTTTACGCTGGTATTCTGTGAGAGTGTCGTCCTTCCCCGGTCGAGCCGACCCATTTGTGCTACAACTATACTACTAATATAGCTGCAGCATGACTCTACCACATATAATGTTGTCTTAACAGTAAGATTAAAACCTTATTTCTTTTTTTCCATTTTAAAGGGTGGAATTTTTTCTTCAAATTATAAGGAAGAATCAGTGGACAGTTGGTGAAGATGTCAAATACACACAAAAAGAGCCTTGTTTTTATTGAAGGTGACTAACATGAAATTCAGCTGTCAGACTTGTTAAAGAATATCTTAGAAAACTTACAACAGGAACATCTTCAAGGCTTTCCTTCTTTACATTCACATTGTCAAATGACCCAACCGCCGATTCAGCATTGTCCCCACAAAACAGAACTAATGGTACGTCATCCTCATCTTCTGTTATATATGTGTCATTAGAATCGAAAACTGGGTCATCTTCCACTTTGAGGTCAAGATCTACATCTTCAACACGATCAGGTCCCAGGTAATAGGTTCTTGTTGGTGAAGGCCTTATATTGTGGTTGATATTTAAATGTGATGGCAATAATTTCGGCCCCTGGTAACAAAAACAATGTTTCATATGAAATGCGGGTGTAACTATAATTTTTTAGACCAATTTCAACTTGGAAACTATATCATAAATAGGAGTGCAATCTCAAGAAATTAGCCACATGCATTTTGGGGTGCAAATGCATGTGGAAAATTTTTTGTGAATTGTGAAATAATGTGAGTGAATGCCAACTGTGGGGCAAGCTATATTATGTTGTAACAATGGGTCAACACGCATTTGGGTGTACCACATACATTGGGGTAGTGCGGTTGAAATTTCATTGCCTTAAAATTCTGTGACCAACAGTGGTACATATATAGACTGTAACTTTTACTAAGCTTTTACGAATGGGTCGGCTGAACCAAGGAAGGACTGCACTCTCAGAGAATACCAGCGTAAAATACAAGCTTAATGCTGCTAAGTTTCATATGGTGAGTGTAGAGAACCGGAGAACCTTTTTACTGGAAACAAGGCATTCCATCTTAGTCTTCATGTGTGACAACACATCTACATTTTGATTCTTCATCGAGGTTTAATGTAGATGTCTATGGGCCCACAGTATCCACTTACCAACAAGTGGACTGTATGCTTGCTTATCGCCCATATTCTATAAAAAACCAATATGGAGACAGACCGGAAAATTTTCCATTCAACTATTATCATGAACCGTTCGTAATACAATCACTTTAAACTTAACTTAAGTTGTTAACTGAGAACATGAGTAGTGTTGTAGTAATAATGTAATAGCACTGCTTGTATTCATATGTGACAAGTAGTAAAGTTAATATTCTGTACAATCTACTTCAATATAATTATATAAAATGAGAACATGATCAATGTAGTCGAAGTGAATTAAATAAGCATTATAACGGATAACTCAAAAACTAATGGTCAGATCTTGATCAAACTTTATGGGACCACAAGAGAAGTGCTAGCTATTAAAAAAAAAGTGTCATCAACATCGGTTCACCTGGAAAAAAGTTCTGAGGTATTACACACACTTCAAAAAAATTAAGTGAATTGAGCACTTCCTCCTTTTCTTGAAGTCGGTTAAAAAACAATATATCAGTTCAAAATTTGATTTAAGAGAATAAGCATAGCATACCTGATTTCCAATTTGATTTAATAACATATAAGCTTTCCGACATTGTTCAATAAATCTGCTCAGCTTACGAAGCAAACTTGTACAAAATATGCACATGAACATTTCTGTGCCCTTTGAAACCTGGAATAAATTATGTATTTGTGTAGTCATCATCATTACAGCCCTTCACAAGTCCACTGCTGAACATAGGCCTCCCCCAAGGAATGCCACAAAGCACGGTCCTGAGCCACCTGATCTTCTTGTCAGTCCTCAGGGAGTTATATGTCGCCAGTTCGAGTCGTCTTAGGTGGCAACTGAACCTCCACTGGAGATTCTTAGCACCCCTTGCCCCACTATTACCATGGTAGCCACCGTAGCCAGAAATAGCGAGACTGCCATGGACTGGGGCTGTCTCTTCGTAACTTTAATTATGGGGGGTATATTGCTATAGTTGCTACACTTGGTGAGCGGATTGGCAACCATAGTTTTTTTATTATTTTGCCGTATTTGTGTAGTAGAAAAAATAAAACCGAGCTAGACATGGTAAGCTGATTAAAATTTTGTTCATACTCCCAATATCGGGCATGAGCACATTATTTCGGCCTATTTTACAACATCCTAGCTTTAGCAACTTAAAAGATTTGAGTAAACTCACAAATTAGGCAAATATTTTAAGTAACGCGCATTCTTGAAACGTTTTTAATTCAGCAGTGGATTAGAACAGGCCTATGAAAAAGAAAAAAGCAAACAAGCTAGTATAACCGGCGCCGGGATTAAACTCACTTAAACCGCAAATAAAACTCATTTATTCACTATATTTACTGAAAGTGACCGGCCTAAAACTACAATATCTGTGCAATAGCTATGTATTACATTTTAAGTAGATAAGTACCTTTTTAAATCAACTGCAGAAAATATATTTTTTAAACTACACTGCGGGCAACTACGGACTGACAATAAATATTGTTTTGAAAAAAAATACCTCATTAATAAGCCGCTGATACCACTCAATATCTTTTGGCGACATCGGAGAAACATTGTCGCCAATTCTAAGGCAAGCCTGGCACACAATATATCTCATTACAAATACCAAATCCTGTACAAACAACTTTATAATTATGAATTATGATACCAAACACTAGAAACTTTCCTATATAAAAAAGTACTCTGTGCTAGAACTAGAAACTATAGCTTGCTACATATTAGTGTTGTGAACCGGTTTTAGAAAAAAGTAAATAAAACCGGTTTTTTTAATAACCGATAATCACCGGTTTCTTTTTACTAAAACCGATTACTTTGGACTCACTTGTCTTTCATTATTCGTGTATCCGAACACCAAAGTCAGACCATAGACATAGGGAGAGTCAGACTAAGTTTAAATTGTCTTTGATTGGGGAATCACCGCGCCGTTTCAGCCATTAGGCAACACTGTTGACAAACTACAGCCCGTCCAGTCATTCTTTTGCGTGTGTAATGTGTATGGTTATTTCTCTTGCGTTTCATCAAAAAGATTTAGTTTGTTATCAGGTTAAGTAAATGGTTTGGAGGAAATCATCGATAGGTACGTTATTAATTATAACTTAATACCTCGTTAAATAGAAAACCTTTTTGTTTATAATTTAAATAAATTACCGTAAAATGTTCCTACTTTGCTCCTATATGGTTAATTATGCTCCAATTCTCATAAATGTTTTATCGCTTAATATGTCCAAATCGGCGCAACATTTCGTTTAATTGTGAACGCATCCGAACAATTTTACTAATAAGTGGCAACACAGAACTGGTAAATTTTTCATCCGCCATTTTTTTCTCATGTCAGGTGCAGCTGTAGTGTAAGACAATAAAGGTTATTTTTTTTTGTATTCGAAAAAGCCACTTCCATCTTGAAATCTGCATAGCGCATTAAGGTAATTATGTTCTAATGTTATTGTGTATATAATCGGGTAAACGAATACGTAAATATTTCATTGAATTGCTGAGTTTGTCATAATCTAACCCCACTTTTTTGGCATGCTTATATTTTCTTTGGTACGATAATGTAACTTTGCGCCTGGAGCAAAGTAAACCCAAACATAATCCCTACAAAAGTAAACATAGTTTATTCATTGTAAGTGGTTATTAATACACTTTTTATCAAAGAAATTACTATTTATTTTCAGAAAAGATGCCAAGAAATTATAAAAAACGTATAGGGTCGAGAAATTATAAAAATTACAGCGCCGAAACTTTAAGACAATGTTTGGCTTCCATAGAAAATAAAGAAATAACGCAAAGAAAAGCTAGTGAAAAGTATGGCATCCCACGCAGAACAATTATTAATCAGTTAAGACTCCTACGATCTAAAATGCCATCTCGACCTCCAGGCGCACCAACAACATTTTCAAGTGAAGAAGAAGCCTTATTTGTCGACTGCATTTTAAGGCTGTGCGAGTACGGCTTTCCTCTCACAATTTTCGATCTTCGCATTGTTATTAGAACATATTTGGAGAAAATTGGTCGGAGAGTTACAAAATTTAAAAATAATTGTCCAGGTACTGAATGGGTGTCAAGTTTCCTAAAAAGACATTCATGTTTATCACAAAGATTTGCGACCAACATTAAACGCAACAGAGCAGCCATTGACAAGGAAACCATCACTGCCTACATAGAAAACTTGAAAGAGGTGGTTAGAGACATACCGACCGAAAATTTATGGAATTTTGATGAGACTAATTTATCCGACGACCCTGGTCAAAAAAAAGTAATAGCGAAGCGAGGTGCAAAATACCCTGAACTTATAAGTAATACCTCCAAAAGCTCAACTTCTATCATGTTTTGTGGTAGTGCTAAGGGAGAATTATTACCGCCGTATATTGTCTATAAATCTAAGCAACTATGGAATACATGGACGGAACAAGGGCCAAAAGATGCCAGATTTAACAATAGCCCATCAGGTTGGTTTGACATGAATATATTTAACGATTGGTTTTTTACACAAATTTTGCCAATATTAAAGAAACAAGAGGGTCCGAAAGTTATAATAGGAGATAACTTGTCATCTCACATTTCTGTAGACGTCCTAAATGCTTGTGACAAAAATAATATTAGATTTGTTTGTTTGCCACCTAATAGCACTCATCTAACTCAGCCGTTAGATGTTGCCTTTTTCCACCCAATGAAGGTAGCATGGAGAAAAATCCTGACCGAGTGGAAGGCGAGTGTTCAAGGTAGGCGAGAGCAAGTACTCCAAAAAAGCAGTTTCCCAGTTCTGTTAAACCGACTCATTGATATTTTGGAACCGACGCGAGAGGTAAACCTCGTTTAAGGTTTTCGGAAATGTGGAATTTATCCGGTTGATGCCAATCCATTATTAGAGAGGTTGCCTACAACTGTTGACAAGACTGCTTTGCAAGACTCTTTTCTGCAGAGTCTTGAAGCTAAGAGGCTAGAATGGACGACAAATGGAACTACAAGAGGACGTCGCAGGAAACTACACATCACTCCTGGAAAAAGTGTAACTGAAGAATTAAGCACACTTTTGGATGATAAAGAAAATGAAGAGTTGGCGCAACCGTCAACTTCAAAGATACCATGTCGCCGCAGAGCCAGTAGTGAAAGCTCTTACGCAGAAAGTAACGACATGTCAGTTCATGATTCTTCCGATCTAGGTTCTCTTGGAGATTTAGAAAATCTTGAAGCTAATACTGATACAGCGGCCGAAACTTGTAATGAAAATTGCAATTTCAAACCAATTGTGAAGGCGGTCGGGCAATATGTAGTCTTCACGTATGAGGAGGAAATTTTTCCTGGTAAAATCACAAAAATAACTAAAGAAGGGCCGTATATCTCTTCAATGAAGAGGTCACTAAAATCCTGGACGTGGCCTAAACCCGTCGATGAAATTCAATACAATTGGCAGGATATATTGGGATGTATTGAAGTCCCTAAAAAAATTAGTACCCGCCGTGAAATATAATCCGTCCCTGAACTAGACCAAACTTGGGGTTTTTAAATATATCAAGTTTAAAAATGTTGAAGTTTCATAAATACTTTTAGATGTAAATTTTCATTTTTGAGAAGTGTATCTCGTTAGTTTATTTTTGATTGATTTTTGTCCAAAGACTAAACATTTGTAACCAAAGTTACTAGTTAAGATAGCAGTGAATATTATTATTTAACCATGATGATTGCTACGGACTTCCAGCCCTTTTCGATTGTTGAAGACAGAATATTTAAAAGGTTCACAGAAGTTTTGAACCCAAACTACCAAGTAGACAAAAAATCAGGTACAAATTAATGCCGCAACAGTACGAAAATGCAAAGTTAAAACTTGCTATTGCACTTTATAATGTTAAGCATGCTGCACTAACCGCTAATTTGTGGTCTAACCAAAATATGGACTCCTTTATTTTTTTTTATTTTTTTTTTATAGGAGAGGGGGCAAACGAGCATGCGGCTCACCTGATGGTAAGTGACTACCGCCGCCCATGAACAACCGCAACACCAGGGGAATTGCAGATGCGTTGCCGGCCTTTTAAAAAGGAGTAGGCTCTTTTCTTGAAGGTCCCTAAGTCGTATCGGTCCGGAAAAATCGCTGATGGTAATCGATTCCACAAGGAAGTCGTGCGAGGAAGAAAACATCTTCTAAATCGCACAGTGGTGGACCGCCAATCATCCAGATGGTGTGGATGGTATCGGGAGTTCTGCCGCGATGTGCGTTCATGAAATTTGGCGGCTGGGATTAATCCGAACAATTCCTCAGAGCACTCCCCATGGTAGATGCGAAAGAAAATGCAAAGAGATGCAACATCTCTTCGCAGTGCCAATGAATCGAGCCGATCGGAAAGGGCTCGGTCGTCGACGATTCGAGCCGCTCTGCGCTGGATGCGGTCAAGTGGAAGGAGCTGGCACTGGGGAGCCCCTGCCCAGAGATGGGAACAGTATTCCATGTGAGGCCGAACCTGCGCCTTGTAAAGTTGCAGGCGGTGTGCCGGCATGAAATACTGTCCCGCTCTGCTGAGCACGCCAAGCTTTTTAGAGGCCAATTTGGCCTTCTCTTCCAAGTGACCACGAAACTGCACGTCACTCGATATGTCGACTCCGAGGATACCGATACTGGCTGAGGCAATAAGGGGAGTGCCTTGAAACTGAGGAGATACGACAAAGGGGTTCTTTTTAGCGGTAAACGCGCAAACTTGTGTCTTCTGAGGATTAAACTGGACTAGATTTAGTCGCCCCCAATCCGAGACTTTGTCCAGCAAAGACTCGACTTCAGACACAAGTTTGTTCCGGTACTCGGCGACGTTTTCCCGAGAAATATTGGCCCGGCCGGTGTATAGAGCATCACCAGTGCTGTCATCCGCATAGCAATGAATGTTACCAGTTAGCAACATATCATTGATATGCAGAAGAAACAGCGTTGGTGATAGCACACAGCCTTGTGGAACACCAGCGTTAATAGGCTTGTAGTCAGAACATGCACCGTCTACAACGACCTTGATGCTCCGATCTGCAAGGAAGCTGGTGATCCAATTGCACAATTTCTCGGGAAGCCCATAGGAAGGGAGCTTCGAAAGAAGCGCTTTGTGCCAAACCCGATCGAAGGCCTTCGCAATGTCCAGACTAACGGCCAACGCCTCCCCCTTGGACTCTACTGCCTCCGCCCATCTATGGGTCAGGTAGACTAGAAGATCACCAGCTGATCGACCCCGACGAAAACCGTATTGGCGGTCACTGATCAGCTGGTGATCCTCAAGGTACCGGATGAGCTGGCAGTTAATAATGGATTCCATTATTTTGGAGAACAAGGAGGTGATCGCGATAGGCCTATAGTTGGACGGGTCTGAGCGGTCGCCTTTTTTAGGGATCGGGTGGACAAAAGCTGTCTTCCATGAGTTCGGGACAACGCCTTGGGAGTAGGAGTATCGGAAAAGACGCGTTAGAACCGGTGCCAACTCCGGAGCACACGTCCTCAGCACAATTGGGGGGATTCCGTCAGGCCCACTCGACTTGTGGATGTCAAGGGAGAGGAGTGCTCTGCGAACCGAGCGCTGTGAGAATAGCACATCCGGCATAGAGCACTCGCACCGCGGGATGGTCGGCGGTGTGTTCCCCCCGTCATCAACAGTCGAGTTGGACGCAAAAAGGGAGCCTAAAAGGTCGGCCTTCTCTTTTGCGTCGTGGGCCAGTGAGTCGTCCTCCCTGAGCAGAGATGGTAGTGATGGCTTACAGAAATTCCCTTGGACAGCCTTGGCGAGAGACCAGAATGCACGGGTTCCCGAAGGAAGGCGAACTAGTTTCTCGCCAATTCTGCCTATGTGCTCTGACTTTGCCTTGGCAATAACTCTTTTGAAGGACATGGAGGCGAAGTTATACTTCTTTTTAAGTGTGCTGGTGTTTACATCCCGAGTCACCGAAGCCGCAGCCCAGGCTTGATAACACTCCTGCTTACTCCTTTATTACGGTCACAATTCATTTTTTTCTGAAAGGTGATTTAAAAAGCTATGTATTGACTACCTCAGATGTCCCCACTGCACATACAGCTGAAAATCTTGCCGAATTTGTTTCTAAATTACTAACAGAATGGAAACGAACTGGCAAAATTACAACCATTGTCACAGATGACAAACATGATCAGAATGTGCGAATTGCTAAACATACAGCACATGCCATGTTTTGCGCATACGCTTAATCTAACTGTTGATGATTCTTTAGAGCTTCCTGAGATTTGGGAAATTATTAACAAATGTAAGGCTATTGTTAAGTTTTTAAAAAGTCGTCTGTAGGGTGGCGAGCGCTTAAAGCAGAACAGAAGGAAAGAAATCCCAATACTACTCCTTTAAAGTTGATACAAGAAGTATCGACACGATGGAACAGCAAATTCTACATGGTGTCTAGAGTTCTTCAATTATCTGATGTTCTGGCATTAGTATGTAGAAAATTAATCCAGGCACCAGACTACTTATCCGCCTGTGAAGAAAAAGTGGGCAAAGAAATAATAAAGATTTTGGAAATATTCGAACAGGCTACAAAGCTTGTTAGTGCTGATACATATCCGACCAGTTCATTAATCATACCCGTAATTTGTGGATTGTATGAGAATTTGACCACTCTGGGGACAGATATAGGCAAAATGTTTTGCTCATCAGTAAGGCGTAATATGAGCAGCAGGCTTTTAGTATACGAGACAAGAACTGTCACGCAAATGTTAACATTCTTACATCCGGTATTAAGGTCTGGTTTTAGGCGCTCGGAAAATATGTTATCTGCAAAAGAAATAGTAAGAAAAGAACTATCTCATTTAATAAAGGATTCTGAAACTAATATTACGGCTACGAATTCAGAACAAGCAGTCCAAATATCAGTGGAGACAAACATAGAACAGAAAAAACTTGGACTCTTGGACTTTTTGAAACAAAGGAAACCCATTATCCATCCAACTGCGTCCGCAGTTAACTTAATGCGCATGTATTTGGAGACAGAGCCCGAGCATGTTGAAGCTGAAACTGCAAAAACGGCTGAAAGTGCTGGCACTTTTTGGAGCACATTTAGTGCCACTGAACGTTTTAGCGCTAAAATATTTATCGGTGCCAGCAACGTCTGTGCCTTCGGAAAGGATATTTTCCAAATCGGGATATATACTGTCATCCAGAAGAAGCAGGTTGCAAGCGGATGCTGTCGATCACATCTATTTTCTTAATCAAAATTACGACTTATGTGATTAGTTATTTTATGTAAAAATTATTTTGATTTTAATAAAGTAGATTTTAATAAAGGTAGAAGTTATTTTGATGTATTGTTCTTTCTTTTAAAAAGGTAAGAAAAAACCTAAAAATACCTTTAAAAACAGGTTTTTTACTCAAAGTAATCGGTAAAAACCGGTTCTCATATTTGCAATCGGTTCACACCATTACTACATATATATTTATCTATGCTAGAAACTAGAGATGGGTAACTCAGGAGGGATAGATACAAAAGATATGAATCAATCCGTTTCCATCAATCACTCTTTATATCCATCCGCATCCGAATGTATCACTGTATCAGTGTATCTTTACAACTTCACTCAAGGCATCTTTTAACTTTTACTAACATCTGTGTCGCACATTGCGCACAATGCTTTCTATTATACGTCGGCAGGCACGGCCGGTCATTCCAGGAAGATTTCGGAAAGTCCATAGTACAGAGGTTTCTTTCGCAGGTCGCTATTTAGTATGTTCTGTCGCGCTTTGGCAAGACGGAGAGAGTGAGTTGTTTAACCATTATAAACTGTAATACGTTGGCACAAAAAGGTAAATTGATAACTCTATGACTGGTGCACAGGGCTTAAAGTTATTAAGCGGTACGTTAACATTTAAGTATTATACTGGTTTGAACTGTACATATGTGTACTTTGCCTATAATTTTTTTAGTAAACAATGCAAACTAATTTCAGTTATAAAAGCATAGTTTTTAAGAAAGTTTTATAATCGAAATTAATAGTCGTTTATATCCATAAAAAAGTAGAAAAAAGATTTGTGATTTACAAAATTAAACAAAGATATCAGTTTGCTTCATTAGTTCAACCTTAATCTCGGTTCAGGAACGAGAGTAATATTGTTTCCGTTAATTGCATCGAATAGAAAAATATTTGAAGTAGTTTTATACACTTAGTGACTGTTTAATTTAAATGTAGGGAAATAAGACATTCAGTGTAAATAGTTTAAAAGTGTTTGTTGTTCTGTACGTACAGTTAGTGACTGTTTCATTTATTTTAAGTGTAAATAATTTTGCGCAGTGTTTTATGAATAAAAAAAATGGGTTCACGAAAACGAAGCGCAGTGTGGAATCATTTTGAGGAAGTAGAACCAAAAAAGCAAAATGCCTTTATTGTCCGAACGTGCTAAATGTACCCGCTGGAAATTGTGGCAACCTTCCCCACAGTAACCCTCGTAGCTAAAAGACAGCCAACGCAGCAGGCATGTTTTCAAGAAGCCGAAACTATATAATATATATTTTCTACAAATTAATACAAACAATACCTACCCTACCTACGTTATTTACGTTAATCATTAATTTAATTATTATTTTAAACTAAAAATTTAAGTTAATTTCTCGAATAAGTCCCTATTTATCAATCATAACAATAACAGCGCTCGCTGTAAGTTTCACAGTACGCGAGTAACCCGGGTTCGATCCCCGCCGGCACCAATGAAATTGTTCATTGCAATTTTAAGTGCTGATTTACCACGTGCTCGGCGATGAAGGAAAACATCGTGAGGAAACCTGCATGTCTGAGAAATAGGAAAACTTTAATTTTTTAATCATAACAAATAGATACCTAGAAAGAAACAACAGCCAAATATATCACGAAGATACACAATGTTACGACCAAGCAAAATGCAAACAGCTCTTAGGTACTTATCTATCACTCTTACTGATAGGATTGAGTTGAGCAAAGCGAGCCACACTGATTGAGCAACGCAACGTAATGCGATGCGTGTCGTGAAAGTGACCTTGATCTACTGATACATAAGGATATAAAGATATAAAAGAGTGATACATATCCAAGTGATCAAAAGATACACATCAATCTTTTCTTTTAAGTGATATACATTGCCCATGTCAGCTTCGTAATGTTAGCAAGTCCAAAAATTAGAATTAGACGAGGTTTTACAGGGACATGTAGAATCGTTTGCTCATTAAGAATAAACGAAAAAAATAATTATTCGTGTCACCCCTGCAGATTTACGACCCTTCGAAGACGCTTGCTAGAAATTTTATAAAATAGTCATTTTTTAATGGTTTTAAGGCACCAAAGTGAAAATATTCATGCACAGAACGTTTGCGCGTTATTTTCTCGTTCCAGAAGTATAATTACTTTCTCAGAAAAATGCATAATAACTGATTTTCACGATATCATTATTTTTCGCACCCCCAGCCTACGCAAGCATGCGAGTCTGCAATTGCGCGGCGCGCGTCACGCAGCGCACTGTGGCCTGTGGGAAGTATCAAATGTGAAATCAACTTATTGTTTACACTCACAATCCAGGGTTTTCTGTCTCATCAATTTGACAGTTGGATACCAGGCTCACTACACGATTGAGATCTCGTACAATGAAAGCGTAATTAGATTCCCCATTTTAATCGAGTTTTAATTAATCGGGCGTATTCAATTGGCGTTTCATTCAAAATCAAGTATCGTGACAACAAGTTTACAATAAAGCCATTGGTTTTGTGTGCACCTCTAGTAGCTTACATTTAATTATTGGAGAAAATATTTAGAGCTGTTATCAATATTCTATAAATCTTCTGTAAGTATTGTCCTAATCATCATTTTTTGGCTTGTTGCCTTTCAATGTTTATTATACATTTTATATTTTTTTGTGTGTAGGAATGCAGTGAGCAATCCAGAACATGACGTTTCCCTCGTCCCTCCCACCTCTTGCCCCTTCCCGCTTCCGCCATTTTGTCATGTCATGTTATTGTCGCGTAGCTGTCAAGTTAGAAGTTTTCTTGGAAATTTTTATTTTGTTTTTCTATGAAGTATGAACTAACTATAAATTATAAATAAAGTTTTATTGGCATTTTACTGCCATTTTACGAAAGGGTGTTTATTGTTTAATAGGTTATATATTTCGACGGGACGTTTTCTTTATAGCTTTAGCGTATTTTGTATATAATTTTTAGTTTTAAAATGTATTTTTAAGTGTTTCATTCCCAATTGTGCAAGTAACAGAAAAGAGTCTGACGAAGGCCAAAGAAACAAGTGGTTGGACTTAATAAACTGTGACAAACTTAAAAGTATGCTGCATTCTAGTAACCTTTTCAAGAAACTTGCTTAGTCACAAAATTTTTAAATAAAGGGTTTCATACTGCTAAATCTGACATTAATAAGGCTAAAAAAGGTTGGATAAACTCAACACTATTCGTTGGAGTAAGTTGAGTTAGGTTTATCAACAAAGATGACAAAGCTATGTACATTTAATTATTCCTTAAACATAACTGCTCAGTATATTCAGTATTCATATAAAATTTAAAAAATTGTAATAAAGATGTACGGGAGTATTGTACATTGAATAAAACTACTTAATTCCTGGCATTTCAAGTGATCTCTTTGATAACAACTTAGTAGTAATAATAAACTGGTTACCAACTTGTCTGCCAAGTGTTACAACTATGGAAAATGTAATGTGTAGCAAAAGCTGCTGCGTGGCTCTACCACTGTTATGATGAATGAAACATAATAATAAATTCTTTTAATAATAATTTATTAAAATTTTAAGTTAATGGCTGAAGTATTTTTATAGAATTCTATTATTTTAAATAATTAATTGTCAACATTATTTTAACCACAATAGCACACCACTTAACAATCAGTCTTAACAATTACAAAATCAAGGTTGTCTGAATGACAATGACAAACAATCTTTTATGGTTTTATTTCAGATGATAAAGTTCAAATAAACTTAGTGTGATATTTGATCAGCCATCATAAAGATATGAGGAATAATTTTGCTGTCAAAACCAGGGATTGAAAATGGTTCCAAAATACCGGTATAGTACAGGTATTTAGGGGTTACGGTCCCTGTACCGGAACAGGAACCAGAACCTAAATTGGAACCTTTAAGAACCTTTATTTTACCGGTTCCTAAGCAAAGCGAAAGCGAGTCCAAGGTTGTTTGAGGTTCAGTCGGGTAGTAGGCACAATGCGGCGCACGGCGGAGTGTGAGAATAGGGGAGTTTGTAAAACAGCACATTTGTATTGGCGGATCTTCTCTTGCATATACGCGCGCGCCACTCGCTCGAGTTCGTACTGATAAAATTATAGTTTACCCATTTGTATTTGATTGTTGTGTGTATAAATAGTTGTAATACATTAGTGTACAATTATACTAATATATTTGAAGAAGAAGACGTTAAGTTAATCATTATTACGAAAACTGACAATGGGCCGAAAGAAATCTAATTTTGTGTATAAATATTTTATATATGATGAACATCAAAAACATTCAACATGTACTGTCAATGACTGTGGTGCAGTTATAAAGGTAAGTACCTAAGTAATTATGTCATTATTTAATCGTTTTTTATTTAATATGCTAAACAAGCTATTTGCCTTCGTATAAGTGGTATAAGTTAGTGTAGTGTTATAAATTATAATTTTATAGAAACTACGTTATTATAAAGGATTTAAGTGGTTTCATAGTAATTAATATTATGAAAGGTATGTATTTGAAGAATATTGCAAATAATGTATGCGGGTTCGAGCCCCACACGGAACTCGTGAATTTGTTACACAAATTATTGTTGTTCCGAGTCTAATGATTAACTAGAGAGGAAGCAGTTGTTTTTTTAGTTTAGTAAGTAACCCTAACAAAACATATCGTAAATATTATTTCAATATTTTAGCGATCCCGGGCTTGAGCTGATAACGCAACCTGTGACAATATGTATGTAATTTATTCAACTGTGGTTGTGTATATGTGTTGGACATAGTTATGCTTGTTTTTGCATGTATGTGTGTCTTGTGCTCGAAAGACTGCGGCGGTATTATTGCTGAATTGCATTTGGTGTTTTCTTTTCTAACAAAATATTACAACCAAATTCATAATTCAAGAGAGTAAATTGACTAATATAATAAATGTATGGAAGAATTGAAGTTTTTATTTTGCTGTTTCGGGCTTGGTCCCGAAGTGAACTTTGTTCAGTGATAGATAAGTATAAATATAAATATTTAACACTA